ATATATGTACATATATATATACATATATATATGTGTGTGTGTGTGTGTGTGTAATTATATATAATTACGATTGACTGATTAATTTAAATTATAGTATGACTACAATCACATGCGTCTATATATGTGTAATTGTATATAATTAAGATTGATTAATTTAAATTATAGGATTTTCATAATTATGTGTATCTATATATGTGTGTGCGCGCATGTAACTATGATTGTCCCACATAACACACATAATTCATAAACAATTATTTAAGATCCAAGTTCTTTCATACGTATTTTATCCAATCCTCTTTAGATTTACGAGATAAGTGTAGTCACAAGTAGTATGTTAAATCGTTTTTCATACTTCAAAATACATAATTCAATTTATGAATATGTTATGGGTTCTATATATTTAAGTTCAATGGACCGGAGTTTAATAGCGCTATGCACAAAAATTATAACGACGAAGTACAGTTCTTAATTCCTGTATCTCCCTTTATATGTTATGATTATGTACGGGGATTATGACCACTGGGGCTGGACAAAACTCTGGAACCGAACCGAATGGTTCTTCTTAAGTTAAATACCCAAACTGGAATCTGAATCGAGAATTGACATATTTGGTTGAGCTCGGCTCTCGGTTCTAGATCAAGAATCGAATAACCGAATCTCTCTAATTTTTTTAATTAATTTATTTTAAATAAGCTAAATTATTTTATTTTTTCTAAATATATTTGTTAATTAGTTAATTTAGCTCAAACCCAAAAATATAATTTTTCTATTTCTAATTTTCAGCTCAAAGCCAATTTAATCAAATTGATATAAGTTTTATCCAAATCTGTTACTCTAACGTAGTGCCGTTTCTACTATTTTGGAGAAATCGAATTGACGCTCGACAACGCCTCTGTTAATTATTGTGAGTTCGCTATCTTCCTTTTCCTGTGATTTTAACAATCAAATTTATGAAGAACTCAGTAAAGAGAGATGCAAAAAACACATAAGATTGAATTACGTTATTTTGCAACAGCTAAAATTGAACATAACATTAGTTGAATTAATATAGTTTTGTAAATATTAAAAATTTAATTATAATACAGAACCTCAGAACTAAATGGAACCAAACTGAACAAAACCCGAACGATATAATTAAATTTGGACCCGACGGTTCCACCTACTAAATAACCGAAAATTTTGGGTCCGGTTCAGTTCTCATTAGAATCGAACCGAACCATGTCCAGCCCTAATGACCACCTAAGTTCGGCTTCTAATCCCCGTGTTTCTTTATGCACGTTACGAATTCCTAAATTTTAAATATAAATTACGATTTATGTAATTCACTTATTGGGATTTTTTCTCATTGTTTATGATTTTTCCCCTTTTAGGTAATTGATTTCGAGGTGTTGAAGTTTGAAACAGGTCTCCAGTGGTATAATAAAGAAGAAATGATTATGATTTTCAAATAATAATTTAATGTTTATGATTGAGTATTTGTTTTTAATTAATATTATTACTATTGTAAGTTTAAGAATAATTATCTCTTATAAAAATCTATTTTACAATATGCTTTAATGATTCAGAGGAAAATTTTGGGTCATTATATCAAGAAAAAAATTTGCACTCCTTTGACTAAATATAAGAAAATAAAAACAAGTGGGCATTCATATTTGGTTTTTTTATTAACTTCATCAAAAACTAAATACACAATCCAAATGTAAACCACTAACACTTGCATGATTAACCATATTGTATTATTGTTCATTCACATCACTAACATATTAGTTCATCTCATACCGCGCAATCGCTTCTCATTCATATTCATATGCAAAAAGTCTCATAAAACTTCAATTTAAATAGAAAAATCACCATGAAAAAAAATGAAGTAGAAGAAGAAGAAGAAGAAAATTGACTAACCTCGAGCTCCAAATGCAGAAATCTCCTCCCACTCTTTTCTCATTCCTTCATAATCATCCGAAGCAGTCACCTCAATGCTTAACCTAAACTTAACTCCCTCCAAATTTAACTCCATCCCATCCATCCTTTCCACAATCCCCTTCCTCCATTCCAAGAATTTCTTGTCAACAACCTTCACCTCACTCTCTTCATTCAAACCCAACATTTTTGTCAAAAACCCTAAATCCCTAACAAATAAATTCCCGCGGGCTACAGGGTCCTCACGCTTGCGCTTCTTCAGGTCCTTGTATTTTCGGATTATGATGTCTTCTTCAGGGACGGCTATTGAATGGGAAGTTTTGAGGTAGTCGATTAGTGAGCGTTTGAGCTCCCAATCGCCGATAGGGGTAATGGATTTGTCGGCGCGGTGGATTGTCAAATTGAGCTTCACTCTGGGGACTAGGCTGAGTCCGGTCTCGAGTTCGAAAGTTTCTGTCGGAAGGAAATTCTCTAGTGGCTTATGGCTGCTCATGGCGGCGGCGGGTTTCTCTTCTGTATAGTGTATCCTGGACTGGCTTCGATCCGATTCCAATATTATAGGTCACGTACGAATCTAAGCGAGCCCAATTTTTTCCTTCTTGTAATTTGATCTATTTGATTCATTTTAATCGCACATTCTTCGTTAAAATATTATTTTCATACAAACTCAAAACATTTTTTATCTTCTAAGCACATTATAACACTATTACAAATGTATTTTTCTAAAAAGAATGGAGCTCAAACCACCCCTAGATAAAAGTAGTAGCTATAAATGATAATTAGATTTTATTATCAGTGTATCTCTACTTCATCTCATATATGAAATTTTGATTATTAATAAAACAAAAAAAAATATTTACTTCTTTGCCTTTTTCTTTTCTTTCTAATTTATGACACGTTACCGAGTCTCTCAAAATCAAAGTGAATTAATTAGAAAGTAATAGTTTTTATAGTCAAAGTCATCGTCACATGTAACAAAATTAATTTGATAGCATTTGAATTATTTTTATATATGCATCATAATGAGCTTGTTTATTCTTTTCTACTTTTCGTTCGTATGCATGGTACAAGTTCACACTTCAAAAAATAGAGATCCTTCCCTTTTTTATTGCTTCCACCTTTTAAGACTAAATTAAGTTACTTGCCTCGCATTAATGGTATAGTTTCATCAACCAAATGTCTTAGGGCTTATTCAATTGTATCTTTCCTCACTTTTCTTGTTTTCTCTCTTTTTTTTTT